ATAATAAAAAAATAATAAAAAAATAATAAAAAAATAATAAAAAAATAATAAAAAAATAATAAAAAAATAATAAAAAAATAATAAAAAAATAATAAAAAAATAATAAAAAAATAATAAAAAAATAATAAAAAAATAATAAAAAAATAATAAAAAAATAATAAAAAAATAATAAAAAAATAATAAAAAAATAATAAAAAACGCACCTACTTGTTCTCCGTATATGTTTGTTATATTTATTATTCGTATTATAAAATTTTTGTGAGCAAAATTAAAGAAGGATTATTGAAGCGCTGAATACTTAGTGCAGCTTAACAGTTTTATACTGTACTAATTATGATGTTTTAACACCTATTGTACATTTTAGTAAGCTTGATGCTAATAATATGTATTTAAATCTATTAAAATTAATAATAGTTATAAATTAAAGATTGGTGATAAAGGTGTTTTTGAATTTTGCAATATGGTGAGGATAATATTATCTATCCCTTTATTCATATGCAATTTTCTAGGCATGTCGATTAAGGCCCTATTTCTAAATAAAATAAGGCAATTTGTTTATTACTAAGATAATGAAAATTTTAAATTGAATTCATTATCTGCTTTATTTTAGCATTGCAAAAATTCACGCAGACATCGACATATAGATTATTGCAAATGCAAAAAAAACTATTATAGGAATAAAGAAGACGGTGTTAGGCATATTCATGGTACATAATTAAATATCTAATTATAAATGAAAACATTTATTATATTCAAATTTATTTATTCTCTTATCTTGTATATTCTAAAAAACGTATAATAGATATTAAATTTATGCCAAATCCTGAGTTACCTAAGGATTTTTATCACATGAGCATTCTGGGTTCGAACTGGATTTGTAGGTAAGTGGAATTATGCGTTATATAAAAAAATCATAATGAAATTAATTTGATTAAATTACTTTTAGACCCATATACTAAATTGGAGCAAGAAGATTTTGCAAAGTGTGACTACGAATGTTCTGATGAAATTCATCAAAAATCAATAGATGGTTTATTACTAGAGAAATCTTATTGTGATTTACAACTGTTTCATGATCTTTGCAAAACTTTGCCTCCTGGAAAAAAAGGATATTTGTCTAATTATGAGCACGTATTTCTATGCCGTGATCCTAGAGTTGCAGCTTTTCACATTATTTTCGTATTAGACCAATCCGAATCTATGAGCTGCAAAGATCACCCACCAACATCAGATACGTTATTTGGAAAGGCATTAGTATTACAAGAAGCTCATAATAATCGATTTGGTGCAGCATTGCAAGCCACAGATAAATTTATTAAAGACTCGGATTTCTTCTACACAAAATAAGAATAAAAGCACGACGATTGCTGATGATATTGTTTCAATTATACTTTTAATGACGTATCTGAAGTTCTATTTGAAAATCAGAGTATATTTGATACCGACTTTATTCAAAATAAACTTATTGAGAAAAAAGGAACTCGGTTTGATAAAGCAATTATACAAACAGAACAAATTATTGATAAACATTTTGACATATCAAGGTTATTTGAACTATGTATATTTATTTGCCACCGGTGGTTTCAGTAATTAAACCTATAATTAAATAATTTATTTTTTATTATATATTTAGATTGAATGTTGTGATATTTCTTTCTGATGGATTGGACCGTCTTCCCGAAAATATATTAAAGAATATGTGTCAAAAGAATAAAGAAGAAAGAGGGTAAGTATATATTTTGGTAAGAAATGGCCTAAATCTATTATCAATATTGAGCAATTTAATTAAAATTACATTAAATTACAAGGTCCCCACTATTTTTAAATACTATACATTTTGGCGGTTCAAATGATGAATTTGGCGATTCAGAAGGAGGAGCTGAAGTTCTTAAAAAAATGGCAGAAATTGCGCAAACGTTTCATGATAATAGTTTTTCTAATAATGTGCAATGTAAATTTGTAAAAGCGCCTGATACAATACAACTTATAGATAATTTTACAGATGTGGCAACTAATTTGCTAGTTTACAAACCTATACTGATAAAAAAATAAGCAAGTGTGAATTTTATAACTGCTGAAATTTTAAAAAAAGAACCTTCTTATTATAGCTATAACAAGTCATGCGCCTGCTCATGCGCTGGGAGTTTGTTTATATATATTTTTTTATATTATGATTTGATTTTGATTTAATAGTTTTGTTAGAATTTAATTTAATCTTAAGTGATTGGTTTAAGAATTATTTTTGAAATTTGTGCTATAATATTAAGTAGTAATAAAAGAATCACAATTAGGAATATGAATAGGTTCATTATATTTTGGTTTTTCAGATTTGTTTTCTGGTCTTTAAGTAATTTGTTAAGGTTAGAAATTTTTAATTCTGATATCAGAACAGATTAATTAGTAGAACAATCAAAGTGGTGGGAGAAATTAGTAAACTCATACCTTTTACTTATTGACAAAATACGTAATATTATATTATGCAAATGTATTTTACCGACAAAATACGTAATATTATATTATACAAATGTATTTTTACCGACAAAATACGTAATATATTATGCAAATGTATTCTACCGCAATATACTTTTCATATATTTTTTTGCTTATCGACAAAATACGTAATAATATATTATGCAATTTCCTTTATATTGATAAATTTTAGTTTAATATAAAATACATCATGATTGGCTTGAGTTACTTTTCAATCGGTGGAGATTAAAAAATAACAGGCGTCGATTTATAATCAACAAATTCCGAAAATGAAGCGCGACATATATATGTGTACATTATAAAAGAAAGAATTACAGTAGAGTTCTGTTTTTTTTTTTATCGTATGAAAAATTATTATATTAAAAAGAATCACAACCCATACAATGATTATATATGACTATGTACTTGAAACATAAATATTCGATCAATAGTTTCGTGTTTAATCAATCTGTCAATACTGCCCTAATGTCCAAGTCATTTACAATAGACTAAAAATTAATAAACAAACCTTAATTATAGCAAAAATAATATCGTAAAAGATCGTATACAAGATCCCTTTGATCGTAGGCTATCATATCCATCCAAATATTGATCTCTATTAATTAAATACGGAATTTTCAATAATCTCGCTTCTTATTATAAATTCAAAACGTATATGCACTCTAAAAATTTTCCTGTTACAATATAAATGTTGGGCTGTGTATTATACCCGTACTGCTGTGTATTATACCCGTAACTACTATAGGTTTTAAAATCATTGGAATGTTACAAACTCAAGTCTTGTATATGACCTTTTACGGCATTTTGAAATCAATATCCGATAGAAAAAATTATTTGCCAAAAGATAATAAAGCAATCAATTAAAATTCCAATTCAAAAACGCTTTCATAGACCTGTCCAGTCTTTTTATTAATTGCCGTAGCCTTAATCTCCATAGTACCGAATGTCAGTATTAATTCCACTTCCACCACTCGTTTTTTCAAAGTAAAACTAAAACCCTTTGATTTTTTTTGTTCTCGTGAATCTGATAAATAGATTTTCAATCTTCCCAGCATTTTCATTCCATCCTCGTCACAATACTTCGCATTATTGTCCGGCGTAATGAATAGATTAAAAGTCATATCAGTTTGATTCTGATCTGCTGTATATGTATAATAGAATTTTTGATCGACATCAACTTCAACACCTCTCAATGCCAATCGATGAAATCGGAATACACGTCCGGAAGGTGTACGTCGTTGTGGTGGATCATGCGTTTCCCATTTTGCGTTTACCTCTACGCCGTAACAGTATTTTAAAACTCGAGTTTGGACAACATCCAGATTTAGACCATATTCTAAAGCACCTCGTTCAATAGCTAAGTATGAAAAATAAGATTATTTTCTTAGAAATTCAATTTTAAATTTAAGAAAAATATGAACAAATTAATTATCCTGAGAATATTTAATACCTGCCATGGGATGTTTAGGAACAGCAATAATTGGGATTTGTGTCGCAAAATGTCGTCGAATTTGAGTTTGTAAGTAAAGATTTTCACTAAACACTCCCACTAAAAACATAGCTGCGGGTCTACGTTCGGTCGACGCACATTGTCTTTGAATCAAATCAATAATCTTTTTAACAACAGGATCAAACATATCTTTCACAGCTTGAAAGTCTAATTCGATAAACCATTCAGCCTCTTCCATTAGATCTTTGTCCTGACCGGTAACATACTGCATCAACGCTGGGCATATGCGTTCAATATCCAATTCCCTTGGTGAATATTCGTTAGGATTTCCGTTAAATGAAAATTTTACTCTTGAACAAAACTGTTGAACAAAATATTGCATTTGTTCATAGTGATTTTCTTTTAGTTTTTTCAATGCGGCGAATCCTAGTTTTCGACCAATGAATTTAAGGAATTCACGGTCAACATATGAACTACCACAAAGATCACCACTACGTTCAGTAATTTCACCAATTTTCATGTTGGGTAATAAAATCATAGTTGTAAGATCTACAGTGCTTTCTTTGCAATCAACGATCAAGAATGACGCTAATATAAAAAAAGGTCGAAGTATTTGTGCTATTATCGTACTGTATTTGTTAATAAATGAAATAAATAATAAATATATATATATTTACACCCAGCTGATAAATGATGCTGCTCACTTAAAGTTTTCATGCAATAAATTGCGATAGCCTCGGCTGAAAATTAAATTGTCAAATATATATGCAATAAATGTAAATATATGCCAGTCAAATTATAAAACGATTAATTTTGTTTACATACGTTCAGTTATAAACACTAAATTTTCAGATTGCCTATGCCCCAAGTAGCCAGCATTGTACATACACAATCTCATAATTGCTCTTGCTTCATCATTCCTATGTTATATGTCAAAAAAATACTTTAGATACTGATACATTAACCCAATTAATTATGGAATGAATTGCTAACCATTCAGCGGGTACAGGTAATACAAAACGAATTTGTTGAGGATATAGTATGCCTAAATATTTTAAAAAATATAAATTAAACAAATTTAAGTTTCTCTTTTAAACATTAATATATACTATATTACCTGGCCATCGACTATTTAATGTTTCTAAAATGAGCTAAACAATTATCACAAAATTAGTTGAAGTCAATTATAAGCAGTCTATGTAGAATAAGTTAATAACTTCTTTACTTTATTCATCTCATGTAAATAATCAGTAATGACTCTTTCTGCATTTAAGCCTGGTGGAAGGGGTGGCTTATCTTCCTCCTTTATATTGGCGAGGTGCAACATGAAAAGTTCTACTGGTTTAGGCTGCGGTCTAACCAATGCCTTTTTTTTCTTTGGAAATCCTTGGGCTAGGGCTGGATAGCCCCAGGCTACAAGTTGCAAGTTGTCATCATATGCTAATACAGTATTAGTTTTATCTTGTTCTGGCCTAAAATTAAAATTATCGAAGATTACACATAATTTTTAAACTATATCTTTTCTGATGAAAATTCTAAATCGTGTTTATATCTTACCACTATAAAAATAATGATATAATTCATGTTAATGTATTTTGTCTAAAAATCTTAATTGAATAACCCGTTAGACAATGCTGAACATTTAATCAAATTGATTGGATATGAATTTAAACGAATACATTCTACCTAGATTTATAGGTCCAAAAATAATTTGATGTCTAGTAGTACCTAATATGTATTGTCAACTTTTAAACTTACGTGATCATTTGTGATAGGTTCTGGATTAGCCTTGTTCGCATATGCAAATCCTATATTGTTAGAAAAAATAATTATTTATCATAATAATCAACCAATTGGAATTTCATTTTACTATATTCATTTGCTGACCTGAGTGAGTAGTTCCAATTTCTGACAAACAAATATAAACGTATTGTTAGTACAACTGCCTCAATAATCTAGGAACTATAAGAATGTTATACATACCAAGGGCTACAACAACTCGAATATCAGTTTTTCTTATGTCTTTAAATGCAATATGATTTGATATTGTTGTATTATCAAGTTGATAAATTAAAGTCGAGTTTAATAATAAAATATTACAATACTAACTTACCATTTTCTTGTTTATTCCCGGAAGTGAATTCATTACCATCTTCAGTATGTTGTTGTATCCATCTTTCTGGTAGCGGTCTATGTTTCATAAAAGAACTCACAGTAGATTGTGCAGAGGTACCAGTTCCAGTATAATTACTGTTACCAACACTACTCAAAATCATATCTTTTCCACTTGAAATCATATATTGTTCATTCGAAATATCTTGCACATTTGGAACGATATCTTGTTCTTGTTCTTGTTCATTTAGAACTATATTTTCATCATAATGAATTGGATTCATTTTTATATTATTTAATTTATGACGAATTTCAGCTATGCTAGGACGTAAATTTGGATCACCATTCCAAGCATTTGTATAAAGATTTAAAAAATCAATTGGAGTTCCATTAACTGGAGCTTCTCTTCCACCAGAAATTACAATAAGTGATATTTGTGTTGTGTCAGTTATATCTTTAAAGGGAGGAATACCGCTTGATAATTCCCAGAAAAGAACACCGAGACTATAAATATCGGATGGTTTATCACGTTTAAATAAAAATGGACTTTCGAGATACTTTGGATCAGAAAAAGCACATGTTCCACCAAACATTGATTTTGTGGTATTTTCTAATGATTTTGATAAGCCAAAATCTGCAATCATCAGCCTATCGTCATGCACTAATATATTCCTATCATGCTGTAATAAGATTAATATTTATACAATTAAAAAAAATAAATAAATAAATAAAGGAGAGCAATAAAACATAAAATTGGTTTACAAGATCACGATGAACAATGTTTGCATTGTGTAGGCAATTAATTCCACTAGAGATTTCTTTCGCCATTCTAATTTTAGTTGTCCAATCTAATTCCGAAAAACAATTTCTTAAATAGCAACGAAGGTCACTGTTATTTGCATATTGAAGAACCATATAGTATTTTTCGATTTTTGGATCTATAAATTATTAATTATAATTAATAACAATTAGTTAGCAAATGAAATTTCATAATATTAAATTAACATACCTTGAGTTACCCCAAAGAACCGTATTATATTATCATGATGAGCAAATCTAATAACATTTCTAACCTTGTAGTATATTATAGAATGTATAAACATAAATTAATCATACAAAATGTAAATAACAATAAGATTGATTTTATGTATTATAAATAATTAATACTTCTTTAATAAATTCATTCACATTAGCACTTGAGGAATCGTGATGAATGCTTTTTAAAGCTACAATTTTTTCAGCGTCTTCTGAATATGCACTATATATGGTACCAAACCCTCCTCTACCAATCTCTTTCCAGTCTTGAAAAGAATCATACTTGAATAACGTAATATATTTTTTTTCAATAGCAACTTCAATCCAGTTTGACATTTATTAATTCTAAAATGCTAACTCTAATCGAAATATATATACAGGAGAATCATCCAAATCCGTCTAACATTAATTACAGAATCAAAAATACAGTAATTTACAGACGTACGTACGTACAGGAAAGTTGTGAAACTAGTGTACGTACGTTGTGAAAGGGTAAGTCGTGGCTTGAAATTTGATTTAACGAATTTGGTAGATTTGGCGCATTTGCTGAACAATCACGCATTTCGTACATTTTGTACACAGTGAACATAATTAATAAACTCATGCAGGAAGGTCCCGGATTTCTGGGTCGGAATACCTCGGAATCATAATCGGATTAACAAATTTTGCCCAGAAATTTATTAAAATTGCAAACTTACAACCATGTAATTTCATGGAAGTTTCAGTAACTTAAACATACGAGCGAAAATTTTGATTGGAATGTTGTGATAGTTAAGGCAAGCAATTGATCAATCAAATATAATCTTACATATCAAGATCACGCAATATCAATTCTATTTTACCGGAGGTCAGGCAATATCACGGATTCCCTTATGTCAAGAAAATCGATGTACAAAAATTAGCTCGGAGCCAATAAAAATTGCAGAATCTTGCAGATCTTGCAGATCTTAACGTAAATCTAAACAAACGCTAAAAATAAAGAAATCATAAATAAAGCAAAATTTTACTATGGAAACCGGCCTTAATTTCTAAGTAAAAAAATGCGTAGCATTGAATTTTACTTTTTTATACTAAAACAAACAATATATGGATATAATATTATCAAAATTGGGTGTTATATCGGATGTAAATCATTTTCTTGACATAAGGAAACTCCAATACGGATAAATGATTGGATTAAATTTTATTTATTCCCCGGTTCTTATTTATATTTCTATATTATTTTTTCCCCACTTATTGCCCAGATCTCATATTCAGGTTTCTTCTTGATTATATATCTTTCTTTTACTTTTTTTAACGTTATACGAAGTTTTAAACCATTAAAGTACGAAAAGTAAAAATCGTTGACTAAAAGGAAAAAAAAAGTGGAAGAAAATGAAACAAGTTTTGTGATTGTAGTAAAACAAAATTTATGAATACGTAACTTTATTTTGAAAAAATAGCATAGAAGTATAAAAGAACCTGTAAATAAATCAGTTATTGGCTGCTTCGCATCCAATAACTATATAATAATTTCCTTATTTGCCAGAAATTGTTCAAATATGTCTAATTGAATTATGATGTTTACCTCGTCAACAGTTTCATAAAGCTTATTTTCATCCTTTTCACAGTTGCATATTTCTTTACCGATTTCATTAAGCTTATGCTTATCTTTCAACCCCATGTATTTTCCATAATCTGCACAAAAATTTTGCATTTAAGCTGTTTTCACTGATTTTTTATGTCATATCCACCGATTTGATTTTTAGGGATATTATTTTAATAGGAAAGAACCCCAATTTTAATATAATCCGATCAAATCCGATCAAAACAGTATCATTTTACTATATCTTATTTGCGTCCAACCGATCGTTCGTGGGGTCAACCGACCGTTCAAACTATAAGTATTATAGCAAGCATTTACTATTAAAAGAATCTTTCAAACTAATATAGTATATAAGACTTATATTTTTTACTATACTATTGATTTTCAAAAGTTAAAATGCTTACTACAAGTACTTTAACTTGTTTTCGTTGTACAATTTGTAATAGTAAGAGGACTTTTAAGCAAAAGCTGGTTTGCAACGACATGAAAGTTTGAAACATTATAATTATAAGGAAATTCCTGAACATATTTTGTCAGTTCCAGAATATGAATTGCGTCATATCAAAAATGCTATAGTAAAAGAGGTACAAAAACTTAAAAAATCATTACTCAAAAATTGGAAAACAGGTTTTTTCAATTCATTGTAGTGAAAATAGTTTTTTTGGCATTTTTTGGTCAATATTTAACTCAGTATTCTGTTTGTGGGGGTTGGTATCAATGTTTTTTTGATGGAGAAGAAGCAATCGATCAACTAACAAAAATATTTAGAGATAATCAATGGGCAGAAAGAAATTACAGAAATGGACAATTATTGTGGATTAAATTATATGAAAATGAGTTAAATAAAATCAAAGAAATGAACAAAGCTGCATCAAAATCAAAATTTAAATCAAAAAAAATTTTTCATTTAGAAAAGGGATTATTAATCGAATGGCGAATAAAAGGATTTAGTGACAAGGCAAAACATCATTGTGAAAGTGGTGAAGTAAAATTTAGATTTGTAGTTGATCAAGGTCAGTTTTAGAATGGTTTTTTTTTTTGGCACTCTCGTTACTATATTGGGTGTGCATTGAATTTTTATTTATATCTGTAATACTCAGTGTTTTAGTAAATTTTTTTGAATATGTATCATAGCAATCTTTGTTCTAATAAAATTTGGTAAACTACAAATACTCTTAATTTTATTAATTCGTGGTTACTGTAATAAATATATGTAAGAATATTTAGCGAATTTTTTTACTCTTATAATGGGTTTGGGTTAAAATCCTGACAAACAGAATCCCGACAGGTCATAATCCTGACAAAAAAAATCCTGACAATCAAAAATCCCAACAACCAAAATCCTGACAATGAATCTCGTGACCTCTACGTAATGTGATTGATGACCATCAAACAGATTTGAAGAGTTTTTCCCTTTTCAAAGAATTGAAGAATTGCGAACTTCAACCAGCTTTGAGTAAGAGCACAAAACTGTACCCACATATAGATTTATTACTTGGTTTCTGTTTTTCTTTTTTTGCTATTATTATTATCTATTTTTTTTTTTTTCATGTTCTGTTTTACCGGATCTAAATAAATAAGGGCTTTTTAGTAAAGGAGCAAAACTCTGATAGCTAAGTATAGATTCTTGTTTTTTCTTTTTCGTTATTACTATTTTTTTCTTTTTCAAAATCTACTTTACTGGATCTTAACTGTGATTTGTAGCTACATAGGTGCATTTTTAATAATGTATTTTTAAAATGGCCAGGAAATAAGTATGTATTTTACGAATATTTTATGTATTTTTCGAATATTTTTCATTTTTCTTTTGTTACTATTATCAATTCAAGATTCTTAACAATAGAGGTTAGAATTATTTAAATTCTGTATGAGATATGGTCAAGATTTTTGGAATCTTTTTTTTATTTTGATTAATATCTTATCGATCTATTTATTTTTGTAGATTATTGTGTTAACAAGTGGATTGTGATGGTTGGATATAGATATAATGACTTGACAATAGACATGTTTTTCTTATAAAAGAGAAATTTGTTATGAGCCTTTATTTTTTGCCCTTTGAACTCAGTTTTTTTATATCTAAACAATATTTCAGAAAGTAAGAGCTTTAATTTTATATATTTTACTTTTAATAGGAAAAAATTACAAATTTTTTATTAATAAACATAATTTAAAATTTGCATTCTGAAAATTCTAGATGCATATAATTACAAAGAAAAATTGTGTGCTATTCCACAGAGAAACTCCATTAATGTAAAATTTTGCTGATTCTTAATAATAGTATCAAATCTTTTTTCTCTTTCAATTGTTTCTTTTTTAGGTGCTGAGCATTGTGCACCATGTATAATGGCTTTCACTTGATAATCAACTTTTTGCTGTTCTTTTTGAAATTTCTCAATAATAGTATAAACACCCACGTGTGGTTGACCAACTAAATTTTTCCACCTTTGGTGTCACACCTCAACAATATTTTGTATTCAAGGAATACCTGCTTCCATGAAATCATGCACAGACCACATTTGTGGTGAGAGAAGCAGTAGTGAATGGCTAGTATTACCATTATACATTTGTCATAATTTTTTCTATGGATATAATTGTCCTCAAACCAATATACTACTTCCTAGGCATTTGTGGGTATATCCTTCTTTAAAGCATCAAATGCTGCAGGAACTGTAAGAATGCTAATGTGAATAACTGACACAGCTTAATACTAAAATTTTCATCAAGACTATAACAAGTTGATAGTTTACAGTCTTGAATTTTTCTTTAGCCACTTTGTCCTAAGTGAAACCTTATTGTTAATATTAGAAAACTCAATACGTGATGCATTGATTGCAGCAAGTTCAAAGTTTGTAAGAATAATTGTGGGCCTTAATAAAATATTATTTTCTTTGGCAAATTTAATTAAATCTTGAAATAGTGCCCTATATAATTCTTTAGACTTTTTTGTCATCAATGCATATACAAGAGGGAGAACTCTTGAGTCTTTTCCTACTTTGATAGGAGCATGGATTGTGTACAATTGACGAAAAATAGTCAGGATAGTTTTGAAGGTGCTATCCATCATCCAGTATGATGATCTAGATAAGTGTTGTATATTTGCTTTTGTAGTAAACAAGAGAATTCGTTCATCTTCAATTACAGAATCTTTTACTAAAAAATCTTCTCTACTTGATGTAGAACTAAGTGAATCAGGAATATCAATATCATCAAGGCTCTTGGGTTATAGAGACATGTCTGCTCTTCTAACATGTTTGATTCATACTCACAAAGCATTATGTGATAATATAAGGATAGATTTCCTTTGGGATATTAATGATGGTTTTTGGATTATTTGAGCCAGTTGGTCATTGGTTTTATAAACTCTATCTCTTATAAAAGCAATACTTCTTGCAACTTCAGCACTACTGGCTTGTGGTGCATGATTATGATCATTAAATTTCTTAAGGTAATGTAAATTATTTAGAAATATTGTTGTAGCATGACTTTTATATTCATTTGATTTTCTTTTCTCACAACACCAATAGTATAAATTCTCCCGAACTCATTCCTTTACTAGCAAATAATCACAGATATTAATCTTATTTATTCCTTTTTGAGAAGGTACAATTTCACAAATTTTTTCCATTCTTTTAATAAATAAAATGATTTTTAAGATTTTTCAATTAATAGTATTTTAATAATCTAGAGTTCGATATGAAACTAAATTTGAACTTTCTACTGAAGACACGACATAGTAATTTAACAATTTTTAATAACAAGGTTGTATTTTTTATTTTTATAATTGTATATATTTTGCTAAATAATAGGATTCAACCTGAAGGTTCTGTTTTTTACAAAGACAAATTGTAGCTTATTTATAACTTTGGATAAGCAGGAAGCATAAGGAGCTTTGTTTAGTTATATTATAGACTTTCTTTATATAATGAGGCTTTTATAAGTATTGACCTTGAATTTTATTTCAAAAGTTATAAATATTTAATGCTTTCTCATTCTTTTTCTTTACTTTAAGCCTATAATTCTTTTATAGGAATAGAATATTGTGAGGCATCCAATGTGATAGTGGGGGCTTACTGTTATAGACATAGACTAAAGCTTAGAAAAAGGTCTAGAAATGAATGAGACAGTATAGGAATAGCCAGGCTGAGGATTCAAGCTTTACTAGAGACATAGACTAAGGCTTAGAAAAAGGTATAAGAATAGATGAGACAGTATAGAAATAGCTAGGCTGAGGATTAGGGATGTTAAATTGCGAATCTGGTCTAGTCCGATCCCAGGATCTATTAGGACGGTCCCGGACCTATTAATAAAAACTGTTAATTAATCGATCCCAGGACCGGGTCCTAAATTACAATCCTCAACAGGTTCATCCAATCAAATTGACCATTAAGCCAAATTTTATTTCTTTCGTCAAAACGATGACTTTATTATGTACTCAATTTTTTTTTATATAAAAAAAAATTTACAAAATTTATAAGTATATATTATATATACTGTATATATAACAGAAAATATATAAAAAAAAAATAACTTTTATAAAAAAAATGAAAAAAAAAAAAAATTTATATAAAAAGATTATATAAAAAAAAAAAAAAAAAAACCTATTTATTAGCATTAGATGCTAACCTCTTCACCTGCTTCACTTACCCCTTCACTTAAAATTTCATCTAGTTTGGTGTATCAGCTTTTCAAGCACAATGACGCATGTGCTATTTCGGGATTTATACGATTTCGGATTGGAGAGATTGTATATTTAGCAACAGAGAAAGCTTGCTTGCTAGCAATGCTAGTAGCTTGCACAGCGAGAAAATCTATTGCAACGCGAGAGAGAGTTGGATATTGTTTAGAATTTGCTTTCCACCATAGCAATAGTTCAGCTTCAGTTTCAGACTCGGACAAGTAGGTTGTGATTTTACACTGATCTTTGTTAACTTGACGGCAATTTGTAAGATTGCGAAAAAGATCACGCATTGATTTAGTAGCAGGTTGTGATGGTAATTTATTTTCTTCAGCTAGTTTATAATTTTCGTACACTTTGTGGAGCATATTAATAGCTTGTTCACGTTCATTTACTACATAGGTTGAGAGCTTATTATGTGGATCAAGAAGGCCCGAAATTGTTGACGACTCATTCAAGTGAACCTAATATGATGCAAACTTTGTTTTCATTGCACTGGCTATGGCATGTTGTGTATTAACCTCTGGGTTTTCATTATTATTTAAATGCATAATTAGGCCACAGAATACCATACGAAGGTCACCTTGAGTAGGAAGTGTTGACGAAGATAGCATTACAGTCACGTGATACATGGGTTCAAGAAGTATTAACAGGTCCTGTAATTCATACTTATTAGAGTTGAATATTTAAAAAAAAAAAATTTAAATTGGTATTACTAACAACAATAATATTCTATTCTTGATCATTGGAATAGCTTGGTTTTAGAGTTTGGTTGCTTGCTACAAGGATATTGGTTATAGAATGAATTCGTTGAAGTTTTTCTAACATGATATACATGCTATTCTATCTTATGTTAACATTGGTTTCGGGCATTAAAAATGGTATGTTTTTCATTTCAAATTTTTTTTTTAATTCACAAATAAGCGATGGAGAGTTTCGAAGCTTCATGGAGAACTCCCGTGTCTTGGAAATTTCTTTACTAATTGATTTTATTCCTTCTTCGACAATAATGTTGAGAATGTGTGCGCCACAGCAAAAATGCTGTACATTATGATTACCAAATTCATTGCTAATTTTTTCTTTTAGAATATGCCCCATTGCAATCATATTGGCAGCATTGTCGGTCATGATTCCTAAAAGCTCTTGGCCGAAATCCATTTCCTTTAAAATTTCAATGATCATATCGGATTGGTTGATTGCGGTGTGGGTTTCATTAAATGGAATAAGGTCGAGTAAGATACGATTCATTTTCCAATCGGGATTTACCCAATGTGCAATTACAGCGATGTAGGGTTGTTGGGTACAAGAGGTCCACCCATCCATTGTAATTGAGATTTTTGATTGAATTGAATTTAAAAAAATTTTAATTTTATTTTTATTTTTAATATAATCTTGGCCAACCCAAGTCGAGAGTGTCTGCCAACACAGGAGCCTATAACGGGGATCGAGTTCCTTTAAAAAATTATTAAATTCTGCATTTTCTGCTAATAAAAATGATTGTTGATCGACAACCACCTATTTTAAAAGTTTATTGTTTAAAATATTTACTTTATATTTGTCGTTTGGGCCATAAGGGTCAAGTCGTCGAGATTTACATTGACTGGTTTTAGTAAACTCTGCAGAGTGAAAATTTTGAAAGTGCCGATTAATAGTTGATATTGCGGTCTGGTTACCAAATTCTTGTTTGCATAGTTTGCATATATTACCTCCATCATCTTTGATTGATGAAAGGTAATCTCTGATGGGTGCTCGGTTATTTGCGGATGTGATATTTTTTTTTTTTTTTGTGTGTTTTTTTTACGTTGTCTGGTGACAAGGATGCGATTTCATCGCTAGTAGTGGTTTCTTCACTAGAGGTTTTTTTATCTACAAATTCAAATTCGAATTGATTTGTTTCAAATTCGAATTGATTCATTTCAAATTCAAATTGATTTGTTTCAGTAAAAAATTCAAATTCGTTTGTTGCCATGATTTTTTTTTTTACTTTTTTTTTTTTGCAGAAGGTTTTTAAATAAAATTTAAACACATTACTTG